TAAGTTATTCTTGTTTAAAGTTATAAAAAAATTTTATTATAAAAAATTTGCTTGATTTCTACTGACTCACCCCCATCTGTTCGCAACACTCGTTGCTTGAACTGCACGTCGGCGATCATGTGTCGAGATTCTACTCGAACTATCACGTCCTGATTGGACGAAATCGTCATTAATAACATTTTCTTCAAATTTGAACGAGGATACCTCGGTAACTACCCACCTAATATCAATAAAAATTTTTATCTTAATTAGGTAGTTATCGAGATATCATCGTTCAGAGTCGGAAAAAACAGCTGTGGTCTTTTGATAATCTCCTAAACTATTTTTTGAATTTTTAAACGAGGATATCTTTACTACCTACCTAAACTCGGTGAAATTTTTTTTTTTTTATTCCATAAATAAGTACGATAAAATAAAAATTTTTTATCGATTTTAGATGGGTAGTTATCGAGATATCATTGTTCAATATTTGGAAAAAACAGTTACAGTTTTTGTTTTGATAATCGTCTAAATTATTTTAGAATTTTGGACGAGGACATCTCTATCTAAAAAATCGATGAAATTTTTTTTTTTACATTAATTCTATGTATCCCTAGAGTCAAAATAAAATAATTCATCAGATTTATATGGGCAGTTATCAAAATATCATCGTTCAAAGTTGGAGAAAACAGCCGTAATCTTTGTTTTCATAATTGTCTGAATTTTAAACGGGATGACTACCTATCTAAAATCGATGAAATTTTTTTTATTTTAAATCCATTGTATCTATAGAATTAAAAAAAAAAAAAAAAAAAAATTTCATTGATTTTAGACGGTACTGTAGTCATCAAGATATTGTCATTAAAGTTTGGGTTTTTGATAATTGTCTATATTATTTTTGAACTTTGAACAAGGATATCTCGATAGTTATACGTTCAATAAAATGAGAAAAATTGAATTTAAATATAGAATCTGAAGCGGGTTCTTCGTATCTATGATCATGTTCAGTTTCTTTCAGTTGATGACCTTCTGTAAGAGGTAGAGCATTTGAGTTATCATTTTCGTTTTCGTCTTTATCTCTTTCATTTTCTATTCATTTCCATATATATTGTCTAGAGAATCCGATTCTTCTCTTGAATTATAAAGGTCTTCCATAATTATTTTAAATTTTTGTAGAGAACAAATGCCGTAATTTGTGGCAAATAGTACCCCCTTATTAGCATACCCCCACGATTTGTACCTGGGATTAATCAAGTATATTTCGTAAGCATTATTGTAAAAGACCTGGGTATATATATGCGTCCAAATATTTTCGCGTTTACTTAAATGATGATCCCCCACACAAAATAGCAAAGTGCCCACCAGGTACTAATCAAGGCTTTGCCCCTGGAGTACCTACTATTTGCCGCAAATTACAGTATTTGTATCAAATGACTATTTATTAATCGATGCCTTTTGCTGTTTTGTGAAATTACATGTACTACAATGAAAAATTTTTTTGTTTCTGATCTCCAATTTGTTTTAAAATAATTTTTTCATACAAACTTTGAAAAGCCTAACCTAATATAGTAATACGTGTGATGAATACAGCATATAAAATTTAACCTCCGTGTTCATAATAATCTCCCCGAACTTCACCGTTCATGAAAAGTCCTTTCACGTACATCTGTGATATCATATCTTTATGAAATATTTTTCGAATTTGTTTTGAAGTGAGGGCTTATCAACCGCATGTTGTCACACATCCTCTTCGGATGTTCCGGCTCAATGATGCTGTGTTCGTGGTCGTTTTCTAGCTTAGACAAAGATCATGTCGTAGAGCATTTCAAAGATTCCTTCGAGAATTTCGAGCGGAAATGAAGTCATTTTTTTATTGTGATTATCGGAATACTATATCCGTCTACGTATTATTATTTAAATGTATATATATAATGTATTTTGACGCCTAATTACAAATATATATGCACGAGTATGACACTACGTATCGCGACACAGTATGTTTATCACGTGTAATCTAAATTTATGTGATTTCACGTGGTAAACCAAGTAAAGCGAACCAACGATAAATTTAGCAAATTCGGAAAATGCAGAAATTCACATCCCAGTTGGTAGCTAAAATGTCAAAGAAAGAGGTAGCTACTTTTGCTGCTGGTTGTTTTTGGTATGTCTTTATAAGATACTATATTCACAATTTTTGTTTTTTTGTCCTTAATATTTGTAATTCGAATAATAGGGGAGTTGAACATATTTTTCGTAAACATTTTAAAGATATCGAAGCACGAGTTGGTTATATTGGTGGAACATCAGAAAATCCAACTTATAGACAGGTGAGTTTTCTCCTAAGATTAGTTCCCTTTTAAAGAATCTTATAACTATTTATTCTTTCTTAAAGGTCTGCTCCAAAACAACGGGTCATGCTGAGGCCTGCAAAATCGAATTTGATCCGACGAAAGTTTCGTATGCTACATTAGTTGAATTTTTCTACAAGACTCATGATCCAACAACCTTAAATAAGCAAGGAAATGACACTGGAAATCAGTACCGTTCCGCTATATTTTATTATTCTCCTGAACAAAAAGAGATTGCTGAGCAAGTAACAAAACAGGTTCAAGAAAAACTTGACAGTAGTAAACCAGGTTCATTATATTCAGGCTCAAAAATCGTTACAGAAATTGTCGAGGCTAGTGAATGGTACGATGCTGAAGATTATCATCAAGAGTATTTAGTGAGTATCTCATAATAAGTAACAGAGATAAAATTCCAAAATTAGAATAATGCATATAATTATCGTAAGACAGCAGTAGGATTAGTTAGCTCTATTCCGATATATACATGGTCTCGATACCCTTAAAGAGAGATAATTGTATGCGTAATTCTAATTTTGAATTTTACCTTTGCCGTGATAAGTTAGGTGTGATGGATTCAAAGTGTCTATATGTTTATATAATATATCCTGATTTATTTTCGCTTTTAGACCAACAATCCAAATGGATATCAGGTGAGGATAATTTATACTGAATTATACCTATAATTGTTTTTCATGATACAGTACTGATGAAAAAAAAAAAATTATTAGTGCCATACTCATTATGTTAGATGGTGATGTTTTATTACCAAAACACGGTACCTGGAATTCTTTTTAAATTATTTGTATTTTATCAACTTTACCGCACAAATAATAATTATAACTCTTTTTTTAAATAAATAACATCATATTTTTAAATTATCTACTCATTTTATATATTGTTTTTAATTGTATAATCAAATAATTTATGCATAAACTGCTAAATTTCTTTTATAATAAAATTGGTTTATATCAACGCAAAAGAACTCTAGGCGAATATAGAGTGTTTTGCCTTTTTATCAATCAAAGAAAAATGAATACGTATAAAGCTAATAATGAATTGTAAATTATATTCTAGGTATATTTCAATTAGTTAATCATTTAAAGCAATACTGTAATATATCACACTGGCTATAAATAATAATTCTTTTATCATAATAACAGTAACTTTGATCGATATGATATGGGAAATTTCAAGATTTTAATTCAAATTAAAGTATCAATTCTTATTTATTGAAATTTTAGATTTTAATTCAAATTAAAGTATCAATTCTTATTTATTGAAATTTTAGATTTGAATTAATTCTTCGATGCAACGCTCTAAAAATAGAATAACAACCGTTGTCAATTTAACTTGGCGAATTGAATTCACGCATGTGACCTTGTTCATACAAAAAATTTAAATCAAAATCTGGAATTGAAATTTCGTGTAACAAATTAAAACCCTGGTCCATCCCTATATAATCATCTGCTAATTCATGTAACTCGCGCAGGGTGACGAAATCTTCACACCTGCAACTTCACGCAAGGTGAATCATTCATTAAGATAATTTTAATTAAGATAATTTGATCAGTAAATTATCAATATAAAACTTTTATTTTTACCACAACACAAAATCGTGCGATTGTAACCTTGCGCAGGGTGTGAATATATGCTAAACCTCGCGCGAGATGCATCTCTACTCATGACATTTATATAACGCCGAATCTAGTATGATACGGCTTTTTAAAATAGGTAATTTACGCCCTATACGTACCGGCCGATCAGATCACTTATATCACACAGTATTCGCATTATCTGACTACGTACGAACAATATCTATATTTTTCCAAAATTGTGGAATTCAAAAGAATTCAACCGATAAGATTAAAATATAGTATGAAAGCATTTTACTTAAAGTACTTATCCACACTTTATACGTAGCAATGATAGATTACGTACGCTAGTTTTCCGAAATAGCATTGATTAAACGTATTAAAAATTTTTTTATAGATTGTATAACGATCGTATAACGATCTTCAAATTGATAGAAATTGATAGGATAGGACGGTCGCTCCCGTTAGTCCAAATCGAATCTGATAACGAAATATTCACATGACCAGAGAAATTTGATCGTGTACCCATTTCCGTATTGGTATGAATTACAGGTTGGGTTATGATAGAGATTTCATCTTCGAACGTGGAAAAAAAATTAGTTCAAATTGTAGAGTGCTCGTGTAACCAATTAATTTATTTAAGATAAGTTTTCTTTATTTATTTCTAGGCTTTTTCGTTCTGCAGTAATTCAAATGTAAATTCATAAAGTTAATTTGAATTGTTCCTTGAAAAAAGAATTAATTAATTTATATATATATATATATAGGTCTATTCACGATAGTTTTAACGATACTTTTACCGTCACGTCGCCAAACCTCAATTTTGCGGAAAAAGCTTGGACTGCTTGGTTCAATTCTTTCGAAAATGAGGTTGTCGCCACCGCTCTAATAGCTTTCATTATGCATGAAGTTGTTTATTTTGGGCGTTGTGTACCCTTTTGGATCGCTGACTTAATACCCTTTTTCCGAAAGTACAAGATTCAAGCTGTAAGCGAGCGTCTATCTGTTTCTTAATTATTGTTCAAATGGTTAATTCATAATTGAATCATTAATCTCACTCATTTTTCTTGGATAGAATAAATCTAATACAGTAGCAGAACATTGGCAATGTCTTAAATCTGTTCTTTTTGCTCATTTTTGTGTTGAACTCCCATTAATTTTCAGTTTTCATCCCGTGGCTACAATGTTCGGATTGGAAATAACCACAGTTCCATTCCCTCAATGGCAAAAAATGACATATCAAGTTGCTTTGTTTTTTCTTTTTGAGGATACATTCCACTATTGGTTTCATCGTTTATTACATTATGGTCCTTTTTATAAGTATATTCATAAACAACATCATGAATATTCTGCTCCTTTCGGACTGGTAAGTTTCGCAACAAGATTACGCTAGTTGATCACGTGCAAAAATTTAACTATTGTCTTTTAGACAGCCGAATATGCTCATCCAATCGAAGTAATTATCTTGGGCGCTGGAACTATTGGAGGTCCGCTTTTATGGGTTTCAATTACTCATGATCTTCATCTTATTACTGTTTTCATTTGGATCAGTTTACGTCTGTTTCAAACTATTGATGCACATTCTGGCTATGGTAATTGGATGTTAATTCATTAAATATAAATAATGTTTCTCTTTATATTCATAAAATTTTAAAAATTTTTTTTCTCTGTATTATAAAAGATTTCCCATGGTCACTTCGTCATTTCATTCCGTTCTGGGCGGGCGCCGAACATCACGATTATCATCATATGGCATTTGTTAATTGCTTTTCTACTTCGTTTAGATGGTGGGATTATTTAATGGGCACTGATTTAAAATACAGAGCTTACAGAGAAAAGAAGGAAGCAGAGCTCAAGAACAGTGGAAAGGCAAAAGTAAAAGCCAACTGATTGAATAAATTTATTGAATAAATTTTGTAGTTGAAATATTTAAAATAATTTTTTTCTAATAAAAGTAAATTCAACAGATAAGATTTGGAAAACAAAGTATTTTTTGCCTTTAATATCTATTGTGATATGATCACGTGTAATTATTGTATTGGAGGTTTGTTCATTATCATTATAATAGGTACGCATATTACATACTCAATATGTACATCTGTACATTCAGCGATAGTACAGGTTGATACAATTTAGCCGGTACCAATGATTAACAGTTAACTTTCAATTGTCGGTTACGTAATATACTGTATATTTAATAATATATAATGGTTAGATAGAACATTTGTGCTTAAAAAATTTTACTAAACGAACTTCAAACACTTAAATTTTCAAGCATAGTCGATCATTTCAAAAACTTTAGAACACCTTTGTTCACGTAACTCATTGATATTTTCGACTAATACCTAAGGTTAGTACACTCAGGTTGCTTAACATTCTTTAGACAATTTTCTTTTTCTTGATTTCCAATTTTGGTGCCCCTTTTTTTTTTTTTTTTGGCGAATTGCCGACAAGAACGAAAAATAAATTTAATTTTTGTAAAGTCGGGCAAGAGTAGTGTATACTTATTTGGGTTATTGAAAATTTTATATACTAAAGTCCAATTGTAAATTATATTGTATGACAGTAAAAAAATGAAAAGTCCGAGGCATACCTTACTTGGTAAAGCAAGATTTTTAAACAAAATCTTTTCCAAAAATATCAATGATGATTCAAAAGATAGAGCTGTCACTCGTCGACAATTATCAACATTATCAACATTATCACCCACAAAATTCCCTCCAGAAGTTGAAGACGAAGGTTTTTATACAGTTGAAGACTCAACTACTAAAATAGGTGTGTAAAATTTATATTCAAAAACTTTACATGTTTGTTAACTATTTGATTTCAGTTACTAATCTTACAAAACTATACATTTATATAATGTATAATTTATCTTTTAATATTAGATTTTCTAATTAAACTTCCTTATGAAATCGCTGCATATATACTTGTATTCGTTAATTATCAAACTTTATGCCGAATGTCACGAGTGTCTCGTGCATGGAAATATATATCTCAAGATAATGAACTTTGGCGTAGTATGTATATAGCAAACAAAGGTTGGAAGGCATCCATACCGCGAGAAGCAACACTTGCAGGTGAAGTCACTTGGAAAGATCTGTACAAAAACAGACATGTTCTCGCTATGCGATGGAAAAAAGGCGAATGTGAAAAGACATATCTTAACGGTCATGGAGACAGCGTATACTGTATACAATTTGATGAACATAAAATTGTTACAGGGTCGCGTGATAAAACCATTAAATTCTGGGACATTAAAACTGGTGAATGTTTTCAAACATTATATGGTCACGAATTATCTGTCTTGTGCTTACAATATAATGATAAGATTATGGTTTCGGGTTCTAGTGATAAGACTATTATTATTTGGGATATGCAGAAGGTTGGTATGCAAAAAATTAACCATCCAGTAACTCAATTACGACGTCTCACAGGTCATACTGCAGGCGTTTTGGACATTTGTTTTGATGATTTTTATATCGTTTCTTGTTCAAAAGATAGTACAATTAAAGTTTGGGATATAAATACAGGTGCATGTCTTCGTACTTTAACGGGTCACCGTGGTCCTGTTAATGCCGTTCAACTTCATGGTAATAGAATTATATCAGCATCAGGTGATGCTTTAATTAAACTTTGGAATTTAGAGAGTGGGGAATTCCTTAAAGATTTTATTGGCCATACAAGAGGTTTGGCCTGTGTTCAATTTGACGGTAAATGGGTAGTTTCGGGTTCTAATGACAAAACCATTAAAATCTGGGACGTCGAAACTGCTCAATGCGTCCGTACATTAGAAGGTCATACTGATTTAGTTAGAACATTACATTTCGACGAAGACAAAATTGTTAGTGGAAGTTATGACCAGACTGTTAAGGTTTGGGAGTTAAAAACCGGCAAGCAATTATTAGACTTTAAAGAAGGTCATACAAGTTGGGTATTTGACGTTCAGTTTAGCTCAACGAAAATTGTTAGGTAAATATATTTCTATATTTATTTATAATACTATTCATATTTGACGCTTTTCTTATTATATCAATTAACAACTTCTTCTGAACCTTCTTACCAATAGCACAAGTCAGGATCAAAAAATTTTAGTTATGGATTTCGCCGATGAGTTGGATACGGAATATATTTTATGATTATGAACAAAGTATATCTTATGAACAATTAACAGAACATTTTACATTTTTTTTTTTTTTTTACATTCAATTTACACCACACATTCACCATACATTTTTTCTTATTTTCAATAATCAATCACCTTCGACTAGTAGACTGCTCAAATATTTTGTGAGTTTTTGAATTTTTGCTGAAATATAAATGATTCTTTCTTTCTATATCTTTTTTTCCATAGAATTTGACGTATCTTTTTTTATCAATAACCAATAACATTCTTTTATATATCAAATTCTTATGCGTAATAATTTATTGAATTATTTGTCATTCATTTGAATTGTTTTAATTGGTGGTTTGGAATTTATGTGGTTTGATCAGTATGAGAATTGTTAAGGTGGTTTAATTTTGTTATTGTTAATACAATTGACATTAATAAAGAACAAAGTTTAAAACAATAAATATCGGTAATCGATCAAGCGTATAGTAACGAATAATGGATGTGTACATTATCTGTTATATTTATTTCTAATAAAATTAAAAAATGACAATTTTACCACGGTCAATTCAAAAATAATTTAAGTCCGCAATAAAGTTCATTAAACAATACGATTGTCTGCTATATAAACAAGGAAATTGATATTTCCACACCCTTTTTTGATAATGCCACACCCCCGCCGATCATTATACTTTTTTTAATTTTTTTAAAAATTTTAATTGAAGATATCTCGACAAACATCTAATCAAATTCGATGAAAATTTTTTTTTTTTATTTAATTGTAGAAGTCTGTAGAATTTAAAGAAAAAAAGTTCATCGAATTTGATCAGGTGGATGTCGAGATATCTTCGATCAAAATTTCACAAGCGGCTTCTTTTGATAGACGTTCAAAATTTACAAAATCTTTGGATGAGGATATCTCGACAACCACCTGACCAAATTCGATGTGCTTTTTTTTTATTTTAATTGTATAAATCTGTAGAATTTAAAGAAGAAAAAAACTGCCAAATTTAGTAAGTTGGATGTCGAGATATCTTCGATCAAAGTTTCGTTAAATTTACAATACTTTGATCGAAGATATCTCGACAACTACCTGACCAAGTTCGATGAGCATTTTTTTTTTATTGTAGAAATCTGTAGAACTCAAAGAAAAAAAATTTGTCGAATTTGGTCAAGTAAATGTCGAGATCTCTTCGATCAAATTTCATAATCTGCAACGCAGCTAAAATTTGATTGAAGATATTTCGATATGCACCTGGCCAAATTCGGTGAAGTTTTTTTGGTCCATGGAGTTTGATCAGATGGATGCCGGGATATCTTCGATCAAGAATTGTAAAAATTTGAATAATTGGTGGGGGTATGACATCAAAAAAGGGTGTGGAAATATTAATTTCAATACAATATTACTGATTATTATTTGTTAATATATTATCCAAGTGCTGCCTCAATTAAGGGTGTTCTCAAACTTCCAGGACATTGTGATTAATTGAAGTGATGTTTAACAACTTACAGTATATTGTATTTTATATATATAGTCAAATCTTCTATAGTTATTTTTTATATATATATAATGTTATTATAGTGTAGTATATTATATTTATTGTATTTTTCACCCTTTAACATTAAAAAAAAAATATTATTATATTACTTCAACATTATATATATTTTATCATTCAGTACAAGATTAATAAGTAATTATAATCCTTTATTCATCAACTTCCATTAATTCGCTTTTTGAATCTTGCAAACCATCTGCAGCAACGCTAATATTGTCAAGTTTTTTCCGTAAGATTTTTGCAGCATTCATCCAACTTTCATACTCTTTTGCTTCTCCATATGTTACTGTATAGAAGGGTATATCACCAGCTGTTATACCCATATTTCGCATATGCCGAAATTGAACACGCAGTTTAATTTGAATTTCCTTTGATTTAGTATTAAAGAATTAATATAAATTATCAAATAAAAATTTTGCATTACAATAACACTTACTTCTATCAAATTAGCAAATTTTTGGGCAAATTCCTTAAAATTTTCTTCTTGTTGTTCAAGGGTAAGTTTTTCAGACTTATCCTTTTTTGTGAAATCATCTTCACCATCTTGTGTGGGTTGTTTCCCGTCCAATGCCAGACCCATAATTGCATGAGCAGCCGTATTAATAATTTCAACAATCACCTGTAAATTAAACGCTTTTTTTTTTTATGAATCTACAAAAATTATAAAATCTCAAAATTTTATCAGGAAATAACTTGAACAACTAACTTCTTCAATCGATTCTAAATCTCGTATACGCTGGGCACTTAGAGGACCTGAATTAGGATTTTCATCTACAAGTTTGCACTATAAATCAGTACATTTCATTCAATGTGATCACAAAAATTATTAGAGGCGAAAGACCAAGTAAATACCGATATCCATATTGACTTTTGGATCAAAAGCAGAAAACGAATTTTAACATGTACTGTACATATGTATGCAGTATATATATCAGATGTCATTTGATATTCATTATCAATTAGTCACCAATTGAATCTGATCACCTATCAAGTCTTTGGCAAGCTTTTAATATAATTTATATATTTAATTGAAAGCGATAGCCGACTTCGAAGACCGTAACAGCATTTTCTCGTGCAAATGAATTTCTTGAAGACTATATTGCTGATAACGATGCTTATATGTCGATTTTTGTAAACATTTTAAATAAGTCTGAGTAAAACATTCACTTTGACAAGATAGAAAATTATATATTTGCAACATTACATTTTAATTTTAATTACAAAGAATAAAAACACTCTGGAATGCTAACACACTTTTTTTAGTTTCAATTGTTTTTACGTAGTTTTAATAACTTTCTGATCGTGATCACATTAACAGTTAGACGGTAGACTATATGAGTGCCGCCAACTGTCATCGGACTTTCAATTATATTTTGTGTATATATTTTCCATAGAGCTAACTGTACACAAATATAATTGAAAGTTGGCAGCAATCATATAAGATATCGATCTTATTAAGGATTTTTCACTTTTTAAAAAACTGATATTAGACATTTCTACTAGAGTTTCTTAAACTTTGTCGAAAATTTATTTTGGATGTATAATTATTTTTCATTTATTGTGTAACATATTCGATATGACTATTAGACCTAACATACCACTTTTATTCAACATATCCTGTCTAGTTGTTAAATCACTCTTAGATCCTTAATTTGAAATGAAAATAACGAAGGTTTAATAATTTATAGCATTGATTTAACAATTTGATTAGTTTTTGATTTTAGAGGTTTTGATTATTATCCCAAATGAAGTAGAAATCTCGATTCCCAAACCCAAACCATGTAGTAATGTCATAACTCAAAAAAAGGTTTGAGTCGCAACCTTAAAAAACATGATAATTCCTTAAAATTCATGAGTTAAAAACAAAGATGACTAATACAAGTCTGTTGAGATCATTTAAATATTCCTCTAACGATTGGACTTGGCAACACGTTCTGAAAAAAACAAAGCGTATCAGTAAACGAGAGAACATCCGCATTTAACATTACTTTTTAAATTACCTAATTCATCCTTCTTCTTAATTGCATAAGAATTAGAACTTCCCTCTGAAGCATAAAAAAGTTTAAATATTGATATAAACCATTTTTAATATAATGAAAAACATTTTTAAGTAATGAAAAAAAAACACAAACTAGCTGCATTAATAAGTTCATCAGCTAAACATTCTGCAATACTCTTAACGTTTCTGAAGGCAGATTCACGTGTCTAAAAATATTTTTAATATTGTTAGCAATTTTATTATTATTATTAATTTTGTGAAATTCTTAACAATGTCCTAAAACTTACTCCAATTGTCAAGAGAGCAATTGCTTGATTTACTCTACGCAAAGGAGACACATCAACTGCTTGCCTTCGAACAGTACCTGCACTACCAATACGGGTTGAATCCTCACGTGGGCCAGTATTTATAATGGCATCAACCAAAACTTGAATAGGATTTTGATCAGTCAAAAGATGAATAATCTCGAATGCGTGCTTTACTATCCTAACAGCCATTAATTTTTTTCCATTATTACGGCCGTGCATCATGAGTGAATTGGTCAAACGTTCAACAACAGGGCACTATGGTATTGTCAGTAAAAATGAAAAGTTACGTCTATTAAACAGTAATTGCCTATCATATCTATAACTTAAATAAAACGATAATTCATGCATTATTAATGCATTCGTTGGATTATATAGCAATTATAAATTCGTACTTGGGCTTTTCTAAATCTCTTGGTAGAGAAACGACCAGCAGTGTGAGGCAAATAAACGGGATTCCTGATTTGAATATAATCCGTCAACGATATATCCTTAACTTCAACGTCTTCATAACTCCATTTGTTGAACAAACGAATGCCTTGATGATACTCGAAGGCAATATCAGATGGGATAGACATTATTATATGCTGTATATCAAAATAAATCTCTTTAATATAACATAGATAAAATGGATGGTTTACATTATCTATACCTTTTTTCTGTGAATGAAGGTCGATAATGATAAAAAAAATTCAGATCTATAAATCTTTTTTTTTCATTCGGATATCGATATTTGATTGGCTACATTAGATTTAACAGATCAGGATCATCAGATGATATCGGGTAAATTGCTGCGTTTGCTTTTCCTAACTAATTTTTATAGTACGTACATATACGAAGTTATTAATTCTCGAAATAAGCAATACGTAATATTTCTTTTGAAATGTTTGTTTTTTGAGAGCAGGAAAGTGTAACGATAATGACTATATAAAATTTAAGCCAATAAAATTCTTCTCTATCAGCCAATAAAATTGAAAGCATGTGATTATAGAGTGATTGTAGAGCATGATGTTATATTTCAGTATTTGTTTCAAAGTCCAGATCAGGAGCATTTTAAGTAAATTTCATAATGTCAAACGAACGCGAGGCTCAGGCACTTCTTGCCAAAGCTGATAAAAAAGCAACTACATTTGGCTGGTTTGGCGGTAATAAATTCGAGGAAGCTGCAGAATTGTACAATAAAGCGGCCAATATCTTCAAACTCGGAAAACGATGTAAGGGCTACTGCGATTTCTTTTAATTTTATTGTTATTCGCAGACAATTTGTAGAAAGTATCGAAAACTTTCTTGAATTTACATATAGAAAAAAATATTTGTTAAATCATAACTGTTCAATTTGGATCATTAACTATAATCATTGTCTTTAACAAACATTATATATTATTTCAAGGGAAAGAAGCTGGTGACGCATTCACCAAGGCTGCCAACATGCAATTACAGCTCAACGAGCGTGATGATGCTGCTACAACTTTTATCAATGCCGCAAAATGCTACAAGAAAGGCAGTTTCGAAGGTTAATCGATAAATTTTCTTATGACGTCAGCTAATATTTATCTGAAAATATTCAAATTTAATTATGATATTTTGATTCAACAGATGCTATTACATCTTTAAAGCAAGCTATTGAGATTCTCACAGATAGAGGCCGATTTCAAGCAGCAGCTGGACATCAAAAGGATATTGCCCAAATTTATGAATCTGATCTCATTGATTTAGAAAAGGCAATGCAGGCATATGAAATTGCAGCAGATTGGTATGCTGGTGAAGAAGCAACTGCGTATGTTTATAAAATTATTATTATTATTATTATTATTTTGATAATACCTGCTATAATAAAGGAAATTGTGCTAACAAATTTTATATTGAATGCTCCACACAAAAAGCTTGGCCAATAATTGTCTTCTTAAGGTTGCAACTTTTGCTGCAACACTGGAACAATACGATAAAGCCATCGAAAAGTTTGAACAAGTTGCTGCTGCCAGTCTTGATAATCAACTAACAAAATGGTCGCTCAAAGATTATTTTTTGAAGGCGGGGCTTTGTCACATTGCTTTCGGGGTGAGTTTCTTTGATAAAAGATATTTTATTTAGGGTTACCATCATGTTATCAAGAAAATTTCTTTATATAATTGATAATATTTAATTATTAGGATCATATCGGTGCCAAGCGAGCAATTGAAAGATACTGTGATATGGACGTAACTTTTGCCAGCACCCGAGAATGTCAATTTCTTAAGGTAAGATTAAAAAATTTTGTTCGTTCATTTTAACAATTTTGTATAAATTACCTATTCTTATTTTAAATATCAAAGGCAATTCTTGAAGCTGTAGAAAATGATGATATTGAAAGTTTCACAAATAGAGTAGTGGAATTCGATCAACTTACAAAACTAGATAATTGGAAAACTACTATTCTGCTACGAATCAAAAAGGGTATTCAAGAAGGAGGATCCTTAACGTAGACCTGGGGTTTACAATTTATCCTGGACCGGAGTAGCTTGAAATAATATTGGTTAATTAGTGTTTAGCCAAATGTCAGTGACATTTGACGGTGTAAGTTTTTTGTTTATGTAATTTACTTTTTATTACTATCATTTTGATTTTCATATATCATATATAAAATTGTTTGTAGAAATCAGTTTTTTTGTAGCATTTATTGTTTAAATGATCAAAGTTTTAAATGAAGAATCAAATAATCTTCTAAATGAAAAAGAAAATTTAGAAAAATCACTTATTTTTTAATAGAAATCTGCTGTTCCTGATGTAAAAATCCTATTGTGCATGTCTGACTACATTACAGTTACGTTAAACATTATTCTTAGTTACATTGATCACAAAAATTTTGATTATTGTTCTTTGTAAAAATGGAATTGACCTTGATTTGCTTCTATTAAAAAATCCAAAAAAGAAAAAATTCGAGATCATTCACTAACCAAAAATTGCAATCTAAGCGATAAAATTGGAATGATATCTGGAATGTAAATAAATCCCTTAGACAGAATCATCGTGGAAGGACCATTGAGTTTGTTTTGGAGAAGCTTTTGCGGTCTTTACATAGTGGTTATTATCCGGTGGCGGTTCCTTGGTTGTACAGCTTGATAACATTGACTGTATTGAAAGGCAGACAGATCTAACGCTCAATACAGGACTCCATTGATTATACAAGACGTTCAAGCATATGTGACCATTGCTGTATATATGTGGGTGTATTGGTATGTTTCCAACGAAAACAACTTCTGGAGATTCCATTGGATAGTTTGGTGTGAATCGAAATTCCAAGGTAAACCGTTCACCTGCGTATAAAGTTCCCTCAACGCCGTCAAGGGATAATTTCCAACATTTGAACGTGTCGGATTCTGTAACTTCGATTCCCGCCGGTGGATTGATTTTAAGATCGATTAATTCTTTAGAAAGACGCTTTGAGAAGAGTGTAGTAGACATGTCGGATAAAACTAATGAGTGCAAACACGGAACTGTCGTTAAAAAAAAAAAAATACGATTGGAAAAATATCGGTCTATACGATCCGTTATTTATGTATTGAACATCATGTGACTGATATGCAGTTCGTGAAGCATGGATGCATGTGGTGCATGTGGCCGTGTGACTGAAATCCAATGGCTGTAACATGACCTTTAGTTATAGATCATATTGGTCAATTAAATTTAGACTTCATATAAATATTGCATTTTTTTTAAAAATCGAATTGAATCTGCTGAATAAGTCCAATTAATTTTGTATTTTGAGTTAACGATAGTACGTTTCAATAAAATAAAAATCGGCTTTTAATCACGTGAAACATTAATTGCATCATTATATAAATAGTTTCTTTTAAGTGTTAATAATCATCTGTACAGTATATTAAAACTAATAAATAATAATATTTATTTTATTTAAACCATATTTGTTATTACAGGAAGAACTAAGTGCGTAAGGATTAGTATAAGGATAAGTGTAATGTACTGTACTACAGTGTATATACTATATACAGTATACAATTCATTCTTTTTATTTACATATTTAATGATCTAAACTATTTAAACATCAATTTTTTTAGTATTTCACTTTTCACTATATTTTCAGACTCTATATTAAGTTGGCTTTGGATCAGAATAATCAAAATTTTCCTTTTCAGTTTTAGTAGTTTATATATACGTATTATATGTTGGCAGGTAGGATTTAGAATAGCTTCTAAAATAGAACCATGTATCCGAAAATGGTTGGACGTACATACGTACTTATCTCCCTATTGGCACAGCAATGATCGACATAATCGCCCTACTTAACTACTACGTAAAATAAAATTAAATCCTTACAATAAAAATTATACAAAATATAATAATTTTGGTATCGTATTTTATTTCTTCATTTTGAAAAATTTTCCAGTCAATTAGCAATGCGAACAGGTCACTTGTTCTTGCTTTGATGTATTATGAATCCGAATATCGGTCATTTCCCTAAATAAATAATCAGTCATAGAAGATCAGTAATTTATGTAAAATGGTCTCGATTTAGGTTTGAAATGAAAGAATTATCTGAGAAATCATTCAATATCAATATTGCAGCAAACATTTGAATCTGCGAAAATAGGTGGACTGATAGAATTAGAGATCAATGGAAATGAACTATTCTTCACTGCTTATACGTTATAGTATTCCCAAAAATAATACCCCCATGATTAAGATTCGGGTATTACTCACTATCCTTATACTATCTTTACCAACTGTTCTTGAATAAGATCCGGGAATATAACTACGTATATTGATTACTAATTTTAATATAATATATCCCCAAATATAATACTTGGTTCTTCACACAATACCCGATTCTAACTCTATAATTTAACACGTGTAAAAACTTATTTATTAATTTCCTGTATCGATATTAGTGGAATTAAGATGTACTGTACGTACCATCGCAAACATAGTGCTGTAGTGTAGATGATGATCCACTAATTACGCCATATAAAAAATAGATCTACTGCGCTTTTAATTCCTCATGTATTTAATATTTTTATTGAATGAAAGGTGTCTTTATATCGTAACAATGTTAGAATTTTACCTTACTAAGTAAATATGTTGTGGCTTACCGGGGTGTACAATTTACAAACATAATGCAAGTCACATAGTAAATCGTTGGCCGGGATTTTTTATAAAAATTAACTCAAGTAAACATAACTTATATGAAGTAAAAATTATATTTGCTAATTTCTTAACGTGCTTTTTAAAGTAACCCCGCTATTTTTTTTTATTTTCAGTTTATAATGCGTATATTTGATAAAGTGAAATTAATTATTAAATCTAAAAAAAAAAAGTTTAAAGAGGGCTCCGGTAAATATACTTTATTTGCATATCGATATCTATATCAGTATATTCGTTCAAGAGCTTTTTTGTAAAAATCCTGGCCAACGATTTGCTATTGCATGGCCTGCATTATATTTGTAAATCGTATGATGGAAGACGCCCCAGTAAGCCATAACATATTTTAATTAGTAAAATAAAACTCTGACGTTGTTACGATATAAATACACCTTTCATTAAGTATTTTGTTTTTGTAGAATCAAAAAATGTTAAATATTACGTGAGGAATTGACGGCGTAATAAATTAATAAATTCTAATTTTTTGTAGCGAAAAATTCACGTTATATATGAGTTTGGGCCAAACAAGGCTATGCATTTAGAAAATCTATATATTTAAAAAATATAAAAACCTTTAAGTCCAAATCTTAAAATTTAAATTTTTTAAGTTTACTATATATTTAAAATTTTAAATAAAAATAATAAATACAGTCCTCTATAATCATGCTGTTTGTTTTACATAAAAAAGATGTGATTATAAAATTTTAATAGTAACGTGATTATATAGTTTTTTTAATAAATATTTTGCTAATAATTTTTTGTTTTTATAAAGAGTGTCTCAATGGGCCGGGTATATCTAAACCCAAGCCCGGCCCAAGCTTGGCCCGATTAATTACAGGATCGAATATCTAGGCCCGATTCTGGCCCGTTAAATTACGAGCCCCGGCCCGATTAATCACGGGTTTGAAATATATTCCATGAAATTTACGTCTCCATAGTAAGTCAGATAACAAAGTGATGGCAGAAAAAATTCGCGGTCAGGTGATTGCCGGACGTTTCCGACCTACAGGAGATACTCGTGATCGGAAGGAGAGATGAAAAGATAATCTATAACGGTTTTTGTGTTATGTTCTATTTTGGCGCTAAGTTCTCGAAACTAATTAACTAGCTCGTACTAAGGAGTTTACTTTAATGGAAGCTTGGAATAAGAAGAGCCACAAAGATAAGTTTTAGCTTTATTACGAGAGTCTAGAGTAAGACTTTACATGAACTCTAATTTCTAACACTCAAATTTCTAACATAGAGCGAATCTCTAAAGCGCAAATATTTATTTATACATTAACTCATTTTGCCATTAACTTAGATTCATTAATAATTAATCTATTGCAACCAAAAAGCCAATTTGCCTTTTTTTGGTGGTTTAAAAGTTTGTTGCTGTGTTCTGGCTCTAAGGGCTTCGTTACATTCAGTAATCTCGTCGATAAGAGGCTTCCTAAAGGTTTTATATGCTTCATAAAGCCTATCATTTTCAATATTATTATTCATAATATTTACTAATGTTTCAAATGCTTTCATATCTGAAACAAGCTCCATTTTTCTG